TAATATTTGAGCCTAATTTTTAAACTTCGTATTTTTCAGACTTCTAAGAATAATTCATGATCTTTGAAAGCACTGTGTGCATTTATTTGCTAACCATGAAGGGAAGTGAATGATTACCATAACAGTCCATTATAATGAAAATATTTTTAAAAAAAGAAAAGAAAGACAATAATAAATATTTTGTAACAGTTTAATCTCATGAATTCTGAGAACTCTGGTTGGTAATGGTCTATATGTAACCTTGCGTGGTAAAAATTAGTCCTGGAGAGATTCCCAGCCTTCCAGACGAGGTTTCTTTGAGGGTTAAGACTGCCCCCCCCCCATGATTCCACTAACAGAAGCTGTTCAGTTGGCAGATATCCTGCACTAGACTTAGGCCAACATGAATTGCTTTCTTGTGTTTTCCCTAATCTGGGGCCATAAAGCAAGTTTGTTCTCATAAAGCATGTTGTTGTTTTTGTTGTTGTGTGCCATCAAGTCGGAACTGACTTATAGCAACCTTACCAGAACTTTCAAGGTAAGTGAGGTATTTAAGGAGTGGCTTTACCAGTTCCACTCCCCCAGTGAGTTTCAAACCCAGGTCTCCTGAGTGCTAGTCCATCACTCTATCCACCACACCACACTCAGTACATAAAACATATAGGGAGCAGCATTCCTGCATGTGGGAGTGGGAGCAGCTTAGTGATTGTGGTGTAATTGCAGACAAAATGCTGCACATGCACTGCATTGTCCTGGAGTTGGCTCCCCACCTATGATGCTCACTAAATGGCCCTGGGCACATTCTTGTCAAGGATCTTCAGCAGGGAGTAGTTGAACTCCATGTTTCTTGGGAGTCCCTTCCAGCTCTACAGTTCTACGATTTCTTATCTCACAACCTAAGCAGACACTACTGTGGAATGACAATGAAATGCCTGTATATACTATCTCCATGACCAAATGCATGACTACAAAAGATCTGCACAACTTTAATGTTGACAATTGGAATAATTAAAGAGATTTTGTATACTTTGGTTCAGTCCTTAATGCAAATGGAGACTGTAGCCAAGAAATCAGGAGGAGACTGAGGATTGGAAGGGCAGCAATGAAGAAATTAAAAAGACTGGAAGGGCAGCAATGAAGAAATTAAAAAAGATCAAGTGATTCCATCAAATATTAATGTTTAGTGTTTATTAATTTTGAATTTTATTTGTTGATCAATTTAACTTACTCTAGTTGATTTCTAATTTTTTGTTTTGTTGAATATTTTATTTTATGATGTCATATCAATTGGTTATGTTGAGTTTTATTATTATCAATTGTATTTAATTCTCTGTTGTACAACGCTCAGTGTGGCCCCAGGCCAGATGGTGCGGTATAAAAGTGTAATTAATAAATAAATAAGTCTAAATATGTGCCACTGGCACCCAAGACTATCCACATTACTATATTTCAAATCACCATGTATGGGTGTGAAAAATGGACAATTGAGAAAGCTGACAGGACTGCCAGAAAAACCAAAAAGTGGGCCCTAGATCAAATCAATCCTGAACTATCTCTGGAGGCAAAAATGACAACTGAGGTTGTCCTACTTTGGGCACATTATGAAAAGACAGGATTCTCTGGAAAAGAGATTGATGCTGGTAAAGGTTGAAGGCAGCAGGAAAAGAGGAAGACCAAATACAAGACGGATTGACTCTTTAAAAGAAGCCACAGGCTTGAGTTTGAAACAGCTGAGCAAGGGTGTTGAGGACAGAACATTTTGGAAATTGCTCATTCGTGGGGTCACCGTAAGTCAAGGGTGACTTGACAGCACATAATAGCACCATAATCTTCATCTTCAACAAAGAAAATGAATAAATATCTGATCATTATTGCTGCAGTGTACAACCATAGTTACCACAGTTACTGCAGCAATATTACTGGTTCTCATTAGAAGGGCGGGTGTTTAAGATATTGTTGTAGAAAAGATACTAGCAATTGCTGGAGTTTGCATGGCTGAGCGTGGGGATTCGGATTCTGTTCTCCGGGGTCCTAGGCCACCACTCTATCCACTACACCACACTGCTGTAGACTCATAGGGATATTTATTTATTTATTTAAAATATTTTTATCTTGCCTTTCTCCTAAAAAAGGACCCAAGGAGACTTACATCATTAAAATACAATTTTAAAACTAAACACTATTGGCCATTTAAGTAAAAAAAAAAATGATATCAGTAACACTGAGGGATGTGTGGGCAGGGAGGAATAGTAGAAAGGGGGGGCTCTATATGCAGGCCACAGACATCATTTGGCCCATCTGTGTTAGATTATTGCCAACATCGGAGTGGATGGGAGTGGTGGAAATTATAGGTTACGTAGTCCAGAACTGACTTTCATGGTAGGAACGTGATGATGTAATTTGCTATACAGTATTGCTGGAGTAACTGAAGGCTCCTTCTTGCTCTGGACTTGGTGACACAGAGAGAGGCCTTCAAATCCATTTGTGACACAGTTAGCCAGAGAATGATGAAAACAATCACACGGAATCTGGATACTTCTTTTCGTGTTTTTTTAAAATGGGGTTCCCATTTCATGCTTTTGCAATTAAAATTGTGACATTTATTTGCAAGAGTGTTTGCATTTCTGGCTAAAAGCTAAAGACTGCATTCGCTGGTTAAAGCTCATAATGTTAGAAGCTGAATCTAGACAGTTACAAGTAAATACCACTAGGTTCAATGGAGCTGATCCTATGTTGGGTATTATGCTATGTAATTTTTTTCCATGTGTGTGCAGGGGAGCATACACTTTCATGATGAGATTATACACTTCAAAAGGTACTTACGCCATGGAGCATTGCAACAGAAGAGGGAAGTAGTCTGGCAGATGTTTATAATTTTTTTTAAAAGGGTAAAAATTATATATAATTATTCCCTCAAGTATATGCCATACTACAGGAATCACTCAGACTATAAAGCAGTATTGGAGAATGAAAATAGGGTACAAGGCTAGATTTCTTCATTTGTAGCCTCCTGAAGTATGGATTAAGTTTGCTTTAAAGAATATAGTTTATAGGCCATTGTTCTCCTATTGAAGACCAAATATGAGATGGATTGACTCTCTAAACAAAGCCACAGGCTTGAGTTTGCAAGAGCTGAGCAGGGCTGTTGAGCGCAGGACATTTTGGAGAGCACTCATTATTTCGGTTGTCTTAAGTTGGAGGTGGCTTTGAGGGCACATAACAGCAGCATAATCTTTTAATTCTGGAATTATGATAAATTCAGCTGTTGTATCTGAATCTATGGGTTATTGATAGTGAATTATAATCTTATTACAAAACAGCAGCTGAAAACAAATTATCCTGGTTCAATCATAATTTAAGCACCTAATTCATAGTATTATTTGAAATTTTCAAAAACTTGCAGTTCCAATGCTTTTGGGAAATAAACCGAGTAAGACCTCAACTACCCCTAAGGATAGTGAAGGTCTTACTGTATAGATTTTCAGGACATACCGTATTTTTCACTCCATAAGATGCACCTCTCCATAAGACGCACCAAATTTTTAGGAGAAGAAAACAGGAAAAAATAATGTTTTCTTCGCTCCATAAGACGCACAGACTTTCCACCCTCGTTTTGTGGGGGGAAAGTGCGTCTTATAGAGCGAAAAATACAGTAAATAATTTTACCTCTTAAGTACTAAAAAGAGGTAAAGATTAATGTTCAATTGGAAATCCTGAATTATGGTTGTTGTAGGTTTTTCAGGCTGTCTGATCATGTTCTGGAGGTTTTTCTTCCTAACGTTTCGGCAGTCTCTGTGGCTAACATCTTCAGAGGACAGGAGTCAGAACTTTGTCTGTGCTCTGGTGCAGTTTGTGGGATAGTTAAGTATGTCTAGCTGTGGGATCAGCTTTTTGTCCTTTTCAGGAGATTGGGTGATTATGGTGATCAGTGTTTTTTTGTTGTGGGTGTATTGTTGTGATAAGGGGGAGAGATGATCTGTCACTGTAATTGATGGGTGTCGTTAGCTGGTCTTTTGTGTGCAGTGATCACCGGTCCTTGTAGCTGGGTAGAGTTCGTTGACCTTTTGCAGGCTGTGTTTGCCCAGCACTGAAAAACAGCCTCCAAAAGGTCTGCAGACCTTTATTTTGAGGTTTTTTATTTCAAAATGGAACATCCTATGAATCTGTTATAATTCTCTCATGACTACATACCTGTATGTGGTTACAAAAGGAAAGCACAGTTCAGCTCACCTTTGTTCATCTGAAGCAGGGAATCAGTTAATCTCAGCATCTCTGTAAATCTACCTTCTCCAATCTATTGTGTTTCAGGGTGCCCATTAGTTTTGCTGACTGGAGATGATAGAAGTTGAAGCCCAAGATGTCAAAGTGAGAAGTTTGCTGTAGATTACTTACACATGCACAGGTACGCACACTCATGTGGCCATGCACACCCATATCTTCCAAAGACAGATCTACAGCCACACTAACTTCTTATTCAACTGATGGACCATCCACTGTAATGTCATGAGGCATTATATGTCCCTTGATAAATGTCCCATAAGAGCTATCACCTCAAATCAAATGACAAAATATCTGATATCTTAATCTATTTCTATACAGCTGGGCTAACCAATCTGCCTGTGGCTAAGTAATTCATCAAGAAAAGGCAAATGATGTTCATAGCTTAAAGCTGTAGGAATTCTGGGCTTCCTCCCATTCCATGTCACTAATAGTCTGAATTTATTTTCTCATAGAACCATATAAGTTCACTGAAATGTGTGCACAAATCCTCTGAGTTAATTGTGCTGTGAGTTTAAAAAAGGGATTTTGATTAATGTACTATTTCCAGAAATTGGAAAAGGTATCTTTTTGAACTACAGCTCCCAAGAAACCAACAGCATAGTACCATGTGATCATGCTGGTTGTCAGATTTTGGCAGCTGCAGTCCAAAAAGGTAATTTTTCCTATTTCTAGGGGGGGGAAAACTTTTTGCCCTCCAGAAAATTTCAACCCAAACTCCCCCAAATGCCTTCCTCCTGGCTATGCTGGTTGGACTTGTTGGCCAAAAATACGGAGAATAAAATATTCCCACACCCTTACCTTAAGAGACAATCTAGAAGACAGCCATGATGCTGGACAATGCAATATGAGTGTGTCTTTATATTGCTCCACTAGAACACATGACACTTTCAAGATTAGCATGAGCAAATCACAAATGAAGACAAGACATCTTGGTGCAAACCTTTTGGCAATGGGAAAAGGAACACCAATGACAGAGTAGTGAGGAAGAGAAACAGAAATAGCAAGACACTTAGCCATGTGAAAAACAAATATAAAAGTGCTGTTCCAATGGGGGAGGTAGAAAAGAACTCCACAATTGGGCAGTGCCTTTATTAGGCCCAACTAAGATTTAACAAAAACATTCAGATTTTTTATTTCCAAAAACTCATCTTCAAGCTAAGCAGTACAAAAAGTAAGAGGCAGGGGAGGGAAAAAGTTAAGGCATTAGCCCTTATGTTGCTGAGACACTGTGTGTAGACTCAATGAATTAGATGCTGTTGCTTCAGATTACACCTAGGACAAAAGAGAAATGGCTGCTCTCCATTAAGGATAACAAAATGAAAGGAAATAAATACAAAACTGATTTGCAACATTAGATACAAACTAAGAAGCAGTACAAAACTTGGTTTCTGAGTGGCAACATACCTGAATCTTTCACAGAATGCAGTCATTGCTCTCAAGGATTTACAGGGTCTTGAGCCTCTTTCAGGAAGACACAATGACTATTATGGGCATGTATTCCAAAACCTTCAGGAGCAATCATCAAAGCAGCAATGTTAACTTTTCATCTTCTTTATTTTACCCTGATTCTTCAGCATTTTTATACACAGATACAGACAGCACATTTCCTATTTAAAGCCTACTACATAGAGAAGATGCTGGTTTATGTGCAGATGGTTGTAGATTTACTGTTTTATTATTCATATTGCTAGGCAGAGCAGAATATGTCTCATAACCAGAAGTGTCTGCAGTTTCTTTCAGCATAAGGTACAAACAAAAAGCATACAATTAAAACACACCTGCAGACTTCACTTGTATCTGTGCACAAATACTTTGACCTTTCAGTATTCCATTAAAACACATTTAAAAGGCAACATACAGTGGGAGGAAAATCATAAAAGTTTGGAATCTCTTACAGTTATCTTTGAATCTAACCCTAGACCAGTGGTGGCAAACCTTTTGGGGCTCGCATGCCCAAACTGGGGGAAAATACCAAGCTGCGGCAGCGGACCCAGAAGTGTGGACCTGGAATCGGAAGTGGTGGAACTGGAAGTGGTAGTGGAAGGGGGAACCCCGGCATGGAGGCGCCTCAAGGCCCCTCCGCTGCCAGCACCAGTTGCTCCAGATCCGCCCACCGAAGCACCAGCACTGGCTGCAGCCGCCTCCTGAGGTTTGGCTGTGCGGGGGGGGGGGGGTGAGTAGCAATCCGGTGACCTATGGCTCATATGCCAGCAGAAAGGGCTCCACGTGCCAGCTGTGACACACGTGCCATAGGTTCACCATTGCTGCCCTAGACCCATCATGAACTCCAACAAAAATGTATGTGGAGGGGGAGACATTGGGAAGAACAACTTGGAGAACAAAAAAGCTCAGATGAACAAACACAGTACCCAAAAATATACTGTGTTTTTGGCATTACTGACTCATCACACCAATTTCCAAAGAGGTAGCTACATTGATGTTTCACCATTTATAACACAAGGAAGAAACAAAAATGTAAAAGTATTTTAGCACCCTATAGAACAACAAATTCATTTTACTTTCAGCTTTAGCCTTTGCCAAATTTACAAGAATTGTCAAGGAAATGTCACCCATGTTCCAGAAATGATTCCCTTTCTCTTGGAAATGCTGGTAAATGTGCTTTAAGGAGTATCAGTGGGATCTGCAAGTACCTTTGGCAACCAGGAGGGAGAAATGGCTACCATGGCTCTTCCAGGAGTTGGCTGTCTATTTTACTTTTCATATAATTATTAGTTACCTCTTAATATCTGCAAATTTAAAAGAATTGTTGCATCTATTGAATTTTGGACTGTATGAACGGCCTTTTAGAACTACATATTTCCCGAATAAGTAAGTCCTGGAAGTTTAAGAGAACGGGCCTAGCAAGATATAACTCTATGTACAGTACATTAAAACAAATGTAAGGATTTTGGAGGGCACCACCCTGCAGATACCATAATACAAACTCGAACTTTCCCAAGTTTCTGGAGACCCAGTAAAAGAGGAATGGTGCAGCAGAACCTGGTAAAAATAAGGAAGTGTCTGTTTTTGAAAGCCATGTAATCATTTCACCCAGTGAGAGAACTCCAAGCAAATGTTTTTGGCCTGTTCTTACCTCTGAAACTGGGTGTGTGCATGCAAATACCAAGCTCTCTGCTGGCGCTTACAGTACAGTATTTGAATCAAGCCTAGCAATTCCTGTAGCTACCCTATCTTCAGTCTGTTGGGAGACAGGCCTTTGAACATGTCTTTTCAATATTCATGAACTAGATGTTGGCATCTGGTAAAGAAGAATCTATAAACCTTTTTATGCTTAAAGCTTCTAATACCGTACTTTTAAACACAATTTCACACATCCTTTTCTAAAGTATTAACGTGACCATTCCCCTATGCCTTAATTATGCATATTTTAAACCAAGACTCAGATAGTGCTTTCGGTGGAGTTAGAAAATTTCAGAAACAGTTGAGGGAAACAAAAACAATGCATTACAAATTCTTGTGTTGGCTGTCTTATTCCATCTAGCTTACTTGCCAACTTATTTATTTATAGGCCGCCTTTCTTCAGATAAGGGGACCTTAGTTCTCCTACGGATTGTTCACCCATCTCCCGCACGTGTTTTCTCTAGAGTAAATCCTATGGACTGAAGCGGAGCACACTCCCATCTCCCCCTTTGCCCAGAGTAGGATTTTCCTTGAGGAGGTAGGCACTGGCGGTTACTGGAAAAAAAGGTCCCAGGATTTCCCGTTATTTTACTTTTGTTACTGTGGTTCGCAGAAGGCTGTCTCTGCGAAGAAAGGGCATTTCTACAACTGTACTTTCCATCATTGCTCCTAGCCCAAATTCCTCCTTTTACGGCTCTCAGACCGCTTCGCACTCAAAGCGCAGGTCCCACGTCCCAGTTCTTCTGCACTTTTCATGCCAGCCTGTTCCAAAGGCAGAAACCAGTCTGGTACGCCCTTCCCTTTCATCCTCTAGGCTAGGAAGCCCCATGAAGGAACATCACGCGGACGCTTCAGGTTGGTAGAAAACCACCAAGCGGCACCCCAACAGCCAGAGGGTCTACCTTGCTCTGTTTCACCAGACATTTTGCAGGGCCAATGAGCACCTTGAGCGGGGTAGGCGGGACTATTCCTTTCCCCACGAATAGAACGAGACCCGCTCATTAACCTGCCCCCTTTTGATCTTTGTCGACACAGATACCAGTTGCCCCGCCCCTTCTTTTCCTCTTCCTGCCCCCCAAAAGGAACGTCTCCTCTTCTGACCAATGGGAAGTTCTTCACAGTCTTGATGGACTTTCCCTACTTCCAACAGGAGCTCGGAAGTAGCCCAAGACTTGTTCCCGCCCCCCCTAGGAGGAGGAGGAGGTGGCCGCCTCCCTTCCCAGGCGGGCGAAGAAGGCCGCGGTTATCGATCCCGCTGCTGGTAGAGGGAGGAGGAAGCAAGAGCAGCAGAGAAAATGGCGGCCGTGGCTGCGACTGCAGCGGTGCCGGGTGATGGGGGAGCCGGCGAGGCCGAGCCCATTCCGGGCAGCGAGGCCGGCGCAGACCCTCTCCCTGCCGGCACTCAGGCCGCCGTGGAGTCTGCGGTCCTCGAAGCCAGGGAAGAGCCCGAACCAGCTCCAGGTGGAGAGGCCGAAGAGCCGTCGCCGCCGCCGCCGCCACCACCCAGGAGCCCCGCAGGAACCCGAGAGCTGCCGCAGGCCCAGCCCAGCCCCGTGGGAGAGCCGCCTCAGCCCTGCTCCCTCACGGCGGGACTCTCGGAGCTTCGCGAGGCGGACAAAGAGGAGGCAGCCCCGCCGCCCTGCTCGCCGCTCTTGCCGTCGCCGCCGCCTGCAGCTGGGGGCCCCGCGAGGCCGGAGCAGCCCGGGGAGGAGCCGCCCCGGCCGGAGGAGGAGGAGCCGGATGCTGCTGTTGCTGCTGTCGCCGCCGCCGCCACCACCACCACCACTCCCAGCCCCGCCGTCATGAAGCAGCCGGAGGTTCCCCCGACGGTAGAGCCGGCCGTGGCCGGGACAGGGGAAGAGGCGCTGTTGCTACCGGGCTCGGAGGTTCTGGTCACCCTGGACCACATCATCGAGGACGCGCTGGTGGTGTCTTTCCGGTTCGGGGAAAAACTCTTCTCCGGGGTCCTCATGGACCTCTCCAAAAGGTGAGAGCCTCGCCGGCCCCGCCGTAGTGTGAAGGGGAACCCCCTCGGCCGCCCCGACCGACCCCCCCCCTCCGGGTCCACTCCTAGCCAGGCTCTTCTTTGACCATTATGGTGGGGCTTTTCTTTTTTTTTCCCCCTCCCCTCTCTCTTTCCTGTCCCCTTAATGGGTCTCCGGAGGCGCTGGCCTGATGGCCACCTCGGTGGCCACGTAGAGGGGCGTGGGGTGGAGCAAAAGCCATCAGGTGCTTGGTCTTTATGGCTCCGCCAAGAGGGCGAGGCTGCCGCCTTACTGCCAGCGACCTCGTGGTCGGCCCGAGAGCCCTGCCCTTTTCTCTCCGAGCCCTGTAAGTAAGCAAAGGATGGCTTTTGCGCTCTGCCCCAGCGGAGTTACTTTTTGCCTCTACGCTATGGCTTGGGTTTAGTTTTTTTTTCCTCTTGGTTCAGCCCAGTACTAAGAGTATTAGACTAGAGGCGGGATTCTGGCTGGGCTGATTGAGTCACAGCCACAAGGCTGCTAGGTGATCTAAGGGTCAGAGGTTTCAGCATCAGTCTAAATTTGAGGACATTATCGTCACTTGATAGGACTGGCAATAAAAAAAACGAACCATGTCAGTTGTATACTGCTAGTCTTATATTTGCTTATTATCTGTATTATGGTAGTATTTTAAAACTCATTGTGGGTTCATCTTGATTTTTCTGTTAGCAATGGTGTTTGAAAGCTTCTTCACATTTTATTGAGTTTTCACAACTTTATTTCCAAAGTAGTCAATTCTGCGCTAGAAAATGTCATATGAGTTTCTTTTGCTTCAGGTACACACGTTGGGAAGATGCTATATGAACTCATTTTTCTACTTCATGCACAGAAAATGAAGAAAAGAATCATTATTCATATTTTTAAAGATAGCTGTCTTAAAATACAGCCATTTATTTTTCTTTTTGGAAATAAAATTGTAGGACTTTTACTTCAGTTCCTCCTCCTGGATAGCATTTGTAAAATCACCTACCTTACTACTTTTTTAACGTAAGAGAGAATGCCAGGCCTATAATATAGTGATACTCATTTAACAATATGAAAAACTTTGTCACTGAAAAAAGTCTTACCTGTTATTTTCTCTGTTGTGTCTGTTCATGAAGGTACTGTGGGTAGATCTAAATATTCCTCCTTGTGTACTATAGAGAGTAACAGCACATTAAATACATATGGAATAGTTTTGAGATGTGTGCTCAGGTGAGTGTCTGGCCCATAATGAACCTTTGGATTTCTCCATCAGACGTTCTAAGAACTGTCTCACATCCATCAGCTGCTCAGCTTTTAATAAAGAATAAACACTCAGCTTTGCAACACTCATTCTTGTATATTCTTACCATTTATTCATTGTTGTATGCTGAGTTCCTCTAGGCACTTTTGTTGCCATCAACAAGGGCCTACATTCATGCTTTATGGTTTAAATAATGAATGTGGGGCCTTGTGGAAGGAAACAGACTGTGAGTGGTCCACAGTCTTTTAGAAAGATTTTGGTTGGTGGACCTTTCTAGTGAATGAAGACCAGGATGATGAAAATCTCTTCGACTAAACATACTGCCAACTAATGCAAGAGTTGGAGGCTATGGCTCGTTGTAGGGGCAAGGGGAGTTGAACAGAATCATAGTATTTCTCTAATGCTATGTTACGTATGTCTAGAACAGTGGTAACTCAGGTGTTCTTGGATTGCAGTTTTTTCCCTAGAAACCTGAGTCAGCACAGCTGCTCATGAAGGTTTCTGAGAATTACAGTACCAAGAATAGCTGGGTTACCTAAGGTTGGGAATCACTGATCTGGAGTTGCTATTTATTTCTTCTCTAAGAAGTGCTATTTTAAAATATGTTGTTTTTCATTGTTTTCCTTGACACCAGACTTTGGAGCACAGAAAATGAACAAAAGACTAGCCAAAGCGGGAGGGGGGGACTTCTCAAATATATTTGTATCATTAATTGCTATATTGTAGTTATTTTTAGGATAGAAAAGGATGTTCCGCTCTTTGTTCTGGGAGGACGATCCTTAGGTGTGACTTGTTCAAGAGATTCTTCCATGCCTCAGTGCTGAAAGATGCTTTGGATAGAGATCCAAATCTAATTGCTCACCTTAGCATGTCATCTCTTCCATTAAAATGGAAGTCTGTGTCCAGTGTAACACTGGCCAGCTTCCTGCTGATCTGCCATACTGGAGAGGATTCCTCAGCATTGTGGAACATATTGCAGGACCCATGAGGGAAGGGCAGGCAAAGGGCATAGTTGGATATATCCATTAGTTGAAGAATATGTGGCTTGTTAGATACAACAGACCTCATGAAATACGAGATAACTAGCTACCTCTGCAAAAATTTTCTGCTATATACTAAATATTTCAGTAGGGTTTATGTAATTTTATAGCAACCAGTTGGTTATTATGTCCAGTCTTACAGTATTTGTAATTGTGGTTAAACTGCAGTGAAGACTGTACTCATGACTTGGCTTCGATCCCAGGCTCAGACAGCTAGCTCAGGGTTGATTCAGCCTTCTAGCCTTTTGAGGTCAGCAAATTGAGTACCCAGCTCAGTGTGGGGAGGACAATGTTGTAGCCTGCATAATTAAGTTGTAAACCATCCATAGAGAGCATTAAATATTATGGGGCAGTACATAGGCAGCACACTTATAGTACAGTGGTGCCTCACATTACGATGTTAATTCGTTCCAGCGAAATCGCTGTAGAACGAAAACGTAATGCGAAAATAAAAAGTCCATTGAAATGCATTGAAACCCCTTCAATGCGTTCCAGTGGGCCGGAAACTCACCGTCCAGCGAAGATCCTCCACAGGGCGGCCATTTTCGGTGCCTGTGCAGCGAGGAATCCGTCCCAGAAAACAGTGTTTTGTGAAGAATCGGTTCCCGAAGCAGGGAACCGATCATCACAAAGCGAAAAACCCCTATTCAGACCATCGTTTTGCAATCGCAAAAACATCGTCATAATGCAGTTTCATCATAATGCAGAGCAATCGTAAAGCGGGGCACGACTGTATTTCTATCAAAGAACAACAGGCTGAAATTCTGTTGCTTAGCAAAGTAAGTTGCATTTGAGTGAGCCCATTGAGCTAGCAGGGATATAATGGTTCAGCTCCTTAGATTCCAGTGATACAGAAGGGCTTACTCTTGGTTGCAGCTTACTGTTATAAAGTAAGTTGCAACTAAAGTAGGCCCACTTAAATCAATGGAACATATGAAGAATTGACTCGCCAAATCCCCACTGATTCAGTGGGCCTATTGTGTGACTTACTACTCTATAAACAACAGGATTTCCACCATTAAGTAATGTATTTTGATCCTTTAGTGCATAGAGAGACTGATTTATATACTAATTGTGGGATACATTTATCTGTGTTTAAAGCTGGTTGCTTGGAAATGCAGTGAATTTCCACTGTGCAAGTTTCCAGTAGTTTATTTATTTATTCTATTTCTACCCCGCCTGTCTGGTCATTGCAACCACTCTAGGCGACTTACAACATACAACACAATTTTTCTAAAAATTATAACAATAAACAATTCTACAAGATGGAAAGCATATGAAATGAATCAAATAGAGAGAGGAGGGGAAAGAATCGGGAATTAACTGGGGGGGAGGCCTGTGTGTCTTTGCCTGCTTTGTTCAGATTATGTCTGCCATATCCTTTCATGCACTTTACAGTGAGTTTGTCACATGGTACTAAGTTGTAAACAATCAGTTTTATCTATCACATCTTAGTATCGTTTATTTCGCCCTTCATGATGAATATGCTGAAGGCGGCCATCTTTTCAGACCTGGTGATTTTGTAAATTCATAGCTAGGAGGAATGTAGTTATGTGTTTCTTCTTACCTTCCCTTTTGCAGGTGTGGAGACCAGATGTACTGAAGGAGTCAAGTAGGGTTGGAAAACAAAGTAACACCAGTGGTCTTAGTTTAACTGGACAGAGTTAACTCAGACACACAAAAACAAGGGACTGAAATGTGACAGCAAATTATTGTTCACAAGCATTGTATGTTAAGTGTACAATGCAGCCTGAAGTGACACAGTGTTATGATGTCAGATTACCTGTTCTTGTAGGTTTCTGTAACTGTCATTAAAACTTCTGTAAGTCTTTTAACAAAGAGTAAAAGACTTTACATTTTTTCCCCTCATGAAGTACCCACTTGAAATGGGTTCAAGAGAAAGCACTCCTGCTTCTGTTTGGAAAAAAATTGCAGTTAATTCAGCTACTCCTGCCCATGAGGTAGGGAAGGAGTAGTGGGTATAAAAAATTTGCTAGCTACTGTGCCTCTGTCCTTTCAGTAAACAATTTTCTGATAAAATAGCTTCAGAGTTTTGAGTGGGGAAGATGTACTTTAACTCCACATAAAATTCATATACAGTATTTATAGGTTCTTGCAAATTTTAGGTATATTCACAGTGTTCCTCACAAAGCTTTGATTCCACTCTTTATTCATCATCAATGTTAATTCGTTCCGCGAAAATCGCTGTCTTGTGAAAACATCGCCTTGCGAAATGCGATTTCCCATTGGAATGCATTGGAATCCATTTAATGCATTCCATTGGGGGGGAATCATCATCTTGCAAAAATTGCCCATAGAGAAACTGTTTTGCAGAGCACGGGCCCAGCTGTCAAAATCGCTGTCTTGCGAAAAACCGTCCCTTAAAAAAAACATTTTCCGAAGCGTGGACTCAACTGTCAAAATCGTTGTCTTGCGAAAAACGGTCTCTCCCCCCCCCAAAAAAAAGTCTTGCGAAGCACGGACCAAAACATCGTCTAGCGAAAATCGCCCATACGGAAAACCATTTTGCGAAGCGCTATAGCGATCGCAAAAACCCATCATCTTGCAAATAAACCATTTTGCAAGGTAATTGTCTAGCGAGTCACCACTGTATTGCTATCTGTAATGCATGTTAGTTAATGAAATACATTTGCTTATCATGATCTGGGATTTTATTGCTTTTCTAGGTTTGAGACATGGTGGCGCTGCAGGTTAAACTGCAGGAGCCTCTGTGCTGCAAGGTCAAGACCAGCAGTTGTAAGATCAAATCCACGTGACTGAGTGAGCTCCCGTCTCTTGTCCTAGCTCCTGCCAACCTTGCAATTCAAAAGCATGCAACTGCAAGTAGATAAATACGGTGGGAAGGTAACTGTGTTCTGTCTCTAGTTGCGCTGCCCATGTGGCCACGGAAACTGTCTTTGGACAAATGCTGACTGTGGCTTGGAAACAGGGATGAGCACTGTGCCCTAGAGTCAGACATGACTGGTCTAAGTCAAGGGGAACCTTTACTTAGGTTTGAGATCTGAGCATTTGTTGCATGCCAACTAAAACAGTACTTTGGAATGCCTTTGATTTTCCAGGAAAAAATCCCATATTTGAGTTAGTAATGCCATCTTGAATGTTTGAAATTGCCCTTCTGTTCTTGCTCACATATAGTTGATTAATATAAAGCAACAAGATGGTTCCTCAGCACTCTTTTAAGGCTACATAAAACTTCATGTATTGAAAACAAAATGAATACATCTACATTCGGGAAAACATGTTTGTACTTTTCCTTGATTATTAGAATCTGCCTGGTCAATTTGCCACATACTATTTTGACTCCACAATATTATTTCTCTATCTATCAAAAGGAACAATATTGCTGCATTGTCTAACCCTGGGGACCCCAACCCCTGGTCAATGGACCAGTCCTGGTCCGTGGACTTTGAATGACCACGCCATCAAGACAGATCTTCAAGGGGCCGAAGGAATGTGCACATACACCCGCATGTGTACACATGAATGCACAGATGCACGCACACACGCTCCACCACACAGACAGATGCCCACCTGCCCTGACAGATGCATGTCCCCCACACACATGCATGCCCACACGGGCATACACATGCATGCACAGACACGTTCTCTCCCCCACCCGCATGCATGGACAAATGGATGCGCCCCCTCCCTGGTCCTTGGGAGAATGGTCTTCAACTAAACTAGTTCCTGGCATTAAAAAGGTTGCAGACCACTGGTCTAACCAATCCAATAAACCAATAAAATACACACGTGTGGTATTATGTAGCTAAAATGATTTTGATTTGCTTAGGTTTGCTGTGTAAAAATGTGATAGCATGTGATCTGTCACCCTTGTTTTTTTTCATGGTGTATGCTAGTGTACTGTTTCATTAGAGACAACAGCAAACTTTACTCTAGTCCTTACTCTAGCTTTGCTTTCACTTTTGGGTGTTTGCAATAATCAGGTCTCTTGAATTCAGGCTTCCTCCTAAATGAGACTTTGCCTGTCAGCCCCTA